ATCATTAAGAACCTTCAGTGAAGCAGTGGTTGTGCTGTGTTGTTTCCTGAAACCAGATTGATGTGGAGGTAAGATGTTAAATGAGTCCAGGTAATTTTTGATTTGAGAGTTTATCAGTTTTTCTAGAACCTTGGCTAAAATGCAGAGTTTAGAGATTGGTCCATAGATGTTCAGTGAGGTGAATGGTTGTTTGTCTCTCTGTGTCCCTGTGATGGACTGGAGACCTGTCCAGGGTGTCTTCTGCTTCTCACACAATACGGACACCTGTGACACCAGTGACCCCCACAACCCGAAAAGGAAGAATGGATGGATCATTTTCCTCAATAAATAAATGACAAAGTACAATGTTTTTGTCTCATTTGTTTTATGGGCTCTCTATCTACTTTTATGACTTGTGTGAAAATCTGATGATGTTTCAGGTCATATTTATAAGAGTTCACAAACTTTCAAACACCACTGTAAACACAACAGCAAATGTAATGTCTCTAAATATTACAGCACGTCTCTTCTGTGCAGGGCTGCTCTTTTACTCGACAGCTGTTCGTTATTCCGACGACGCCTCGTCATCACGCCTAAATTCAAACACAAACAACAAATGTTGGACTCAGAATCTTGTTTTATCTTCCGCTCCTTCCTCCCTGGTGTAAACGACGCCTCCTCTGAATGTTGGTGACGTTAAACAGACGTGGAGCACCGAGTTGGACTCGATGCTGAGCCTGAAACAAAACCAGGTCTGAACGTATGCGGGATGTTTACGCTTACGCGGATGAATACATGCAGGTGGCTGCTGTGAGGCTACCGGGACTCGTTTTTTAAAGAGTTTGGTACTTCTACAACATCTGCCTCCAAACTACAAAAACCACACACAAACTACAAAAAAAACACACACAAACTACAAAAAAACACACACAAACTACAAAAAACACACACAAACTACAAAAACCACACACAAACTACAAAAACACACACAAACTACAAAAAACACACACAAACTACAAAAACACACACAAACTACAAACACACTTCATCAGGTCACTAACACCTGAGCATTGGTGACCTCATGACCAACTCACAGAAATATGGACCACAGGGCTTCTTTTTTTTTTTTTTTAAAGAAAAACATAACGGAGAACTTTGTTTTGTCTCCTTCAATTCACTTTTTAGTCCTTCAAGCAGCTAATAGACATATTTAATGTGACCTGACAAACATCTCTGAGGACATTTGTTTCACTGTCATACTGACTCCATCATGTTGAGAAGAACTCCATCTGCTGTTCACCGTTCTTCTGGTTCTTCATGGTTCTTCATGGTTCTAGCTGTATGTTCGGGGTTTTCAGGGTAAGAGCAAAGATTGTTCTTTATTATAATAATGTGACTTTAGGGGTGTCCATAGTGGATCATCTCACCCTAACAACCTCCTTGGTCACACCAAGCCTCTGCTTCACTTCTCTTCAGGGCACATGTCCACCTCTCCAGGCTCTCTTCCACCTGCTCCCTATTCTTACAGAATATACGTAAACGTGAAAAACAATGCAGAGTCTGATGATTACAGTCAAACTTGATAATATTTTATGACAGTTATTTCATGTTGTCACCAGATTTATGGGAACCAGCAGCTCCGTCACTTAGTGGAACTGAATCAGACGTTCTCGTTCCTTCCTCAACGTTTTGCTGACACGTCACCTGCATCCCTGAACAGTTTTCATATAATAAAACTTAATGATTTTACAATCCATCTAGACAAAATACGTTTTAAAATGGCAGAATGACTTATAACATTTGTGATCTTTCTTACCAACTAAACTGAGGCCTCTTCCATAAAGAAAACATGTTTAAAAAAAAAAAAAAATTCCTTAAAGCTCAGCTCAAAAATCTCATTCATGCTTTGAAACCTTTTAATATCTGACAAACACTGAAGGATTTTTACATGGTCTCCGTCTTCAAATAAATATTTCAGGCATTTAAAAACATTCCCTTCTGGCTTCACTGCACACTATCATTTCTGTAAGTCCTATAAAAACTTATGAAACCTTCTATTATCATTTATTATCATCTATTATCTCTTGCCAGAGGACAGAAGGAGATAATGTTTTTGCCTGTTTGTGATTTTGTCTGTAAGCAAAATATCTCATGAAGCAGTGCATACATTATAATTAAAGTTCCTGAATGTAAGAACTGGATGTACGTCTACAGCTGATTAAATCTGGACGTCGATCTGATTCAAGATGGCCACCGCCGCTAATCAACTTTAGCAAACACAAATAAAGGCTAGAACTCAGTTCATTTTGGATATTGAGCTAAAATATAATTTGGTAGTAGCCGAGGGTCACCCCAAACATCATTTCTTGACAGAAAATGATCTTAAAACAAAGACACAAAAGGTGGCGGGTGATATGCATTCCTTCAGAGAAGGAAACAATCAGTTTGTAAAATGGCAAAATAAATAAAAGAGCTGTCCAAGTTTGTACAGATACCTTCAAAAACAAAAGGTTCGACTTCAAACGTTTTTATTTTGTGCTTTCATTCAAAATGCTCCGTTTGTATTTATGGTTCCTGAGGTTGAACAAGTTCTGAGGAAAAGTGATTAAAAACACAAAAATAAAAATTAAGACACCTGTTAGACTAAAATACACAGTGAGCTTCCACACACAGGCTGTGTTCAGGTTAAAATATTTTAGTAAGTTTTATCTTACAGATTACTTGTTGCATGAAAAACATGAGTTTCATACACAGTTCTGTCTTCAGCATCGATTGTTTCATCGTAACATAAAAGTTTGGATCAGCTCATTTCTTACACCAGTCACACAACTTAAAGAGCTGAACACGAACCCGTTACAGACCTGGTACCAGGACTTGTGACCTTGTTGT